CATGGAGGATTGACTGTCAGCTTGCCGTGGTATACCCTTTCCTCTCAGGTCTGTTGCACAACACCTGCCATTTAGGGCCCGAAAACCAAGAAAGGGTCTAGCCCCTTAAACGACCCCCCTATCCCTCAACATGCCCTGAACCCCCACATTTTCTGACCATGCACATATATCAATTCCCTTTTTCCTACACACCCCTTAATGTCTACCAATCACCCTCCACCCTGTTTCCTCTGGTGCAGTCCAGCCCTAGCTTCGTCCACCTTGAGCAGTTACGATCTGCCTAAGAACGCTGTTTTAAGCTGTTTCAACTGGGCAAACCCTACCCTAAAGCCCCTGAGCCATTACCACTCTACAGACATCTTTCATGGGCATTTTGGCATGTATCTCAACTTATGGCGGTATTTTGCAAATTATCCCCTTTTTTTTTTCAGCCTTGGGGCATGTGGGTTCCAAGAGGCTGCATCGTAGATTTTTTCTTTTTTTTTTTCGATGCACTTTTTTTTTTTTTTTTTTTTTTTTTTTTTTTTTTTTTTAAAAGGGCGACGGCCTTGAGGTATCATCATTAAGCTGACGGGCCCCGGGTAATTCAGAAATAGTTGGTTTTACAACATTTACTCGTCAACTTTCGTCATCTAGACTCGAACATGGGTCTATATTTTCAACAGTTCATGGGTGTACCCACTGAGCTAGGCTCTTGGGTCTTCGAGGAACTTTTCAAAACGCATGGTACCACACCACAAGTTCTTGGGCACATTTGCATGCATCTGGCTGCTATTCCGTCCGCAAACAGTATCACGACCTGCTAGCACCACGTCGGGTGCTTTTTTTTTTTTCCTTTCTTTTTTTCGAGGCACTTTTTTTCCTAAACTAGAAGCGGTGCAACGACCTCACGCTGCCCGCACAGCCCTAAACGACCACAAAGCCCTTTCCAACGACTGCAACCACACTACCCGCACGAACGACCGGTTGTTGCCTTGTGACCGCCCGCAACGCTCTTTTGCACGCAACGACGCCCTGTATACCCCTCTAAACGATCCACGACATTCCCCATTCGGAAAGCGCTCGCTAAACGACAAAAGACATCCATGTATAAGCAGCCATTCCTGGCTGCGAACAAAAGACATCCATCTATACGCAGCCATCCTGGCTGCAAACTTCTGGAAGGAGGCACGTCCGCGGAGAATCTGACCAAATTGCAGCTGAGCTGGATGAATCTGACCACAATCACACACCCTGAGATCAGTTGGAAAAATCCTACTGCTGTAGTTGAAAAAGTCCTGCGGTAGCAGTGTCATCACACAGGATAGACTCCACTGCCCACCCCGTCCTGTGCCTCAGTTGGCGCGAAAAATATTAGCGCGAAAAACATTGGCGCGCTGCTTTCAACATATAATTTTTCGTAAAATACATATAATTTTTGGCGCGAAACGCACCATGTTCTGCTCCATATGGAAGCTACTAATAGGGACAGGCAGAGGCAGAGAGTCACAAGGCAGCGGTCTTGATTTGGTCGTCGCGTTCTAGTTGTGTGCATTTGGTCATTTGTGTATTTGTGTTATAGTTGTGTGCATTTGGTCATTTCTGTTTTAGTTCTGTTCCTCCCCCCTGCAAAAAAAGAAACGAGAAGATAGGGGGAGCGAACGGAGGGCGGCGCAGCGCGACCGGGAGCGCTGTGCCGCCCGTACTCGGATTTCGCCCTGCGGGAGCGACGAACGCTGCGGTGCAAGGCGGGAGCTGATGATGCGGACGGTGCGAGGAGTAAACCTTGGGTTGACGGGACTTCTGTCTTGTAATCGGGGTCGGGACGCAGGATATTCCGAGGTAGTGCAGCGGGGAGAAGCGTGGTTAATGGACAACGGAGCCTGCTATTGTTGGGTGACTTCTGTGGGGCCACGTGTATTTTCATCAGCAGGGTATGACCAATCCGGCAGCAGCGATGATCACGATACGAGGATCGGTCAGCGGTGGTAGGAAGAGTCTCCCCCCTTCTTCGACAACAAGGTAAGTACGAATTAGCATGTTTTTTTTGGAGGTTTTGAACCCCCTGTGGCGACTCACCAACAGGTTTGGTGAGGAGGTGCCACACCGTTTTTTGTTTGATTCTTTTCAGGGATCGAAGATAGCCGTCGATGGTTTTCGGTGTTAGCAGTGCCCAGAGCCTTAGTAGCTAGCAAGGGGAGGAAGGGTTCTTCCTTCCCCGAAGACGCTGGGGCAGGGTTTGAGGGGAAGGAGGTAAGTAGGTGCTGTCGAGGAAGGGAGATGGAGGTTACTCGCTGATCTGCTCAGGTTGCGATTGGTTAGCCCATGCTTTAATGATTGCGACTAACTGTCCAAAATCCCTTGATCTCCTAGCTAATAACTGTTCAAAATCCCTTGATCTCCTAATTTGGTTTCTCATTGATGATCTCGATTTAGGATTCTTGATTGTTCTTGAATGTTCTCACGCCTTACTGTCAATTGTGAAGGTTCCGATGGAGATTTCAAGTTGTAATTCCTCATACATAGGTATTTTTCTCTCTCTACGTCTTGGAATAATTCTGAAATAAATCTTTGCAATATTCTAATCCTAAGAGTCTAATGCATTTGCCAATTTGAAAGTCGCGAATCAGACTGAGATTCTGATAGATTCACAATTTTGAATGTTTTTTACTTAACAAATTCCAATCTGAAATTCGTCGCGATCTTCATGCATTCGTTTTTCCAATGAGTTTTTTTTTAACTTCGCATGTGGGAAAACCTACATAACGAGGTGATAAGAGCATCCCCGGTAAGTAGGCCCCTGCGTCAAAGGCTCCATCTATTGGTGGGGAGCTGCACCTGCTGGAAATCGGGTCCAGCGTCCCTGTACAAGATATGATGCGTATGAGCTGGAAATTGGGTCCAGCGTCCCTATGCAGCGATGTGAAGAAATATCATTGTGATGTTTTTAAGCTGGAATTCGGGACCAGCCTCCCGATCATGTGTTCGCACCTTACTTCCCTGTGTAAGGGAAGGATTGACCTCCAACTGTAATGTACTCTAATTACCTTGTAGGGTGACATGGCACATTTCCGTACCTCCAAGTATAGTATGTTGCACACGTGTAAAAAATTCACGCGAAAATGTAAAAAAAGGTAACCACATATGTAGAATTGGGGGAATCGGGGGAATTGGAAATTACTTCAGGAGATAGCCATCCTAATGACCCCTCAACCCTAACCCAACCCATGCCCCGTCAGCTGTAATCAATAGGGGGCAATCAACTACCCAATCCCCTTGGGGGGGCAATCAATCACCCAATCCCCTTGCGAGGCCAAACATCGGAGCATGGGCGAAAGCAATGTCATGCTGACCTCGCGGGGAGAAAAAATGAATCTCGCCCAAACCTCCGCAGATTGCAACCGAGCTGCCTCCAGGCTGACGAAGATCGACCGTTGCCGGCATAACAGACGACTCTGACCTTAGTGTTGGTATCTGCGATCACCATCGCCAGCCCATCTGCCTCCCCACCCTCCTCACTCGAGATATTGTCGTCATTGTTGTTGTTGTTGTTGTTGTTGTTGTTGTTGTTGTTGTTCTTGATTGTACTGTCTGCCTCCTCACCCTCCACCGTGAAGTCGTTGTTGTTGTTGTTGTTGTTGATGTTGTCATCATTGTTGTTGTTGTTGTTGTTGTTGCTGTTGTTGTTGTTGTTGTTGTTGTTGTTGTTGTTGTTGTCCTTGATTGTAGTAACTGTTGTAATCGCCAGGGCTGTCCGATCTGCCTCCTCAATTGCTACGTGCGAACCGCCGGCCGGCATGAGCGTTCTCCCTACAATCCGTCCAGTGAGCAACCCCCCATCCCGCTCATGCACCCCGGAGGACCAAGCCTCCATTAATTCACACGCATCCCGACCCTTGCAAAAAAGGGCTTTGCAGGCCACCAGCTCAGCCTCCGCCCTCCGCCAATCAATATATGGTTCAAGCCTGGGATCTAGCCCCTCCTCCAGCTCCTCCAGCTTGCTGACTATATCTAACATGAGTTGTGATCTGTGATCCACCCACTCGGTCAAGGGGAACGCACCCCCTTTAACCGGCCGCAACTCCTGAGATCGCTGAGTCAGCTCACACACCGTCTCGTGCAGCTATTGATGGGCCTCCGCCAAGATGTCAAGCCACACCGCTGCGTCTCGTTGCAATATCCCCTCCGACTCCATCGCGCCTCTAATGAAGATAATCAATAACTTGGCCGACACTTCCCGTGTACACGCGTCGTCCTCCTTCGAAACAACCACGTCACGCATGACCACACGGCCACGTGTCGGGCGCGTCTACAGGCCCAGCAACCTGGGAGAGACAACCTCCGCAGGTGCTGGTTGAGCCAGGTGCAACTGAGCCTCGTCGGTTCGCTGGCGCAGGCTGCTAGCGCTCGCACTAAGAGTCGCTACACCGCCGCGTCTCGTTGTAGTATCCCCTTCGACTCCATCACGCCTCTAATGAAGATAATCAATAACTTGGCCGACACTTCCCCTGTACACGCGTCCTCCTCCTTCGAAACAGCCACGACACGACCACACTGCCACGTGTCGGGCGCGTCTACAGGCCCAACAACCTGGCAGAGAGACCTCCGCAGGTGCTGGTTGAGCCAGGTGCAACCGAGCCTCGTCGGTTGATTGGTGCAGGCTGCTAGCGCTAGCGCTCAGAGTCGATGATTGTTTCTTCCATAATCTAAAGTCCTTTTACTACTATCATTGTTGATTCATTTTTCGATCTTCCATACCAAGGAATTTCCTATGTTGGATTCAATTCATCGTTGATTTTCTAAGGTCTTTGTGGCGAGATATTTTTGTATACTTCTTTTCGTCATAGTTTTGTCGGAAATTTGAATAGGGGCCCCATGGGATGGTCAAGTGGAGCATCTTGTAGAGTCTTGGGGGATTTTGTTTTGAAGGAGGGGGCAAAGGGCATCAAATGATTCTTCGCAAGGATAAAGAGGGGATGGAATAGGGCTTTCTAATGGGTACCTGTCATGGGGAGCTCTTATCAGATGCGATTGGCGTTGGGTAGTTTAGGCTTTCCAATCGGTACCAGCTGATGATGGTGAGCCTTGGTGCGATTGGCGTTGGGTAGTGTTGTTTTATCCCCTTGAGGACGGAGACTAAAATTCTTGTGGGGGCAAGGAATTTCAGGGTGATGATGGTGCCCGCCCTCTGTTGAGATGAGGTTCTCTGGACTCTTTACGGGGACGGAGTTTGGGAGAACGAATGAGGTTCTTCCTTTCGATGATGGAGGAAGGATTGTTCGGGTTGTCTGTTTCTGGGGCTGCCTGTTTCCCTGAAGTTGTCCTATTCTTGTCAGAGATAGTCAAGTGAAGTATCTTGTATGGTTTCGAGGGAATTGTTTTGAAGTAGGGAAAGGGGCATGGAATGATTCTTTGCAAGGATGGAGGAGGGGATGGAATATAGGGTTGCTTGACGGGTACCGGCTAGGAGGAGCTCTTATCAGATGCGATTGGCGTTGGGTAGTTTAGACTCTCCAATGGGTACCGGCTGATGAGGGCGAGCTCTGGCGCGATTGGCGTTGGGTAGCGCTTGTTTACCCCTTTGAAGATGGAGACTGAAGTTCTTGTGGGGGCAAGGAGCTTCGGGGTGATGATGGTGCTCACCCCCTGCTGAGAAGCGGTCCTCTAAAACTCCTTACGAGGACGGAGTTAGGGAGGACGGATGGGACTGGGATGGATGGACTCGGGGTGGATGCGATTGGCGCCAAGTATCTTGGCGGGTACCGGCCACTGGCTACTAACTCCACCTGGAACAACTTGAGGTTTTTCCTTTCGATGACGGAGGCAGGATCTTTTGGGTTGACTATTTCAGGGGCTGCATGTTTTCATATCTTTTAATTGTGACCTATCCTCAAAGGCCGTCCCTGCTCAGTTAATCCCCTGATTTCTGGGGCAATCAATGCTGGCAGGGGCCGGTCTTCTTAAATTTGTCTAAAAAAAGAGGTGTGCGGGAGAAGTAGATGGTTTGGATATCAAGCGTCCTGAGGGGGTTAGCTCGTAGGATGGAAATAGGGTACAGCAGCAGCGGAGATGGTGGCTCTGCTGCAGTAAGTCTTGCCGGAGTGAAGTAAAGAGGATTGATGGGGGGTTTCTGAGTCATTTCTGAACTTTGCCTATTTTTAGGTTTGTCGTAGTCATTTTCTAAGTAGCCCAATTTTTTCTTAGCCAAAGCTGGGTAATGGCCCCGGTATCTCAAACTTTCTAATTTCTATGTAAATTTCTATATGGGACGCAGGGCCCGGTTCCCAGCACTTGGTAAAAAAAAATAAGCCGTAGGCTAGAGTAGGTAGGACTTGGGACAATCAAGGCTCACACTGCAAGTACGTATAGACATTGGAAGGTTGCTGTCAACTAGCCCCTCTTGAACCGGCTGATGCTGCCGGGATAACTCTGGGTTGAATTGTGAGGTTCCCGGCCTCCTTTTTTTTTTTTTTTTTTTTTTTTTTTTTTTTTTTTTTTTTTTTTTTTTTTTTTTTTTTTTTTTTTTTTAAACTGCACTATGTTCTTCTCTCAATTTCTTTTTTCCTTTCACTACCTTCCTACCACTACTCCAAAGACTAAATAGAGGGGACCCCTGCAAGCATAGGGCCTTGCAAACGAGGTAAATCATGTTGCCCCTTGCCCCAACAGCAACGTTAGTCAGAGATGGGGTGGGGCTGCTGGTGGGGGTCCGGCTAACGCAAAGACGAAGCATTTTGCCAGTAGCTGCACCTCCCTTTCTCATAGTCCCCCACCCCTCATCGAGTAGTAGCAGAGGCTATGGTCAACACTCTCCCGCACACCACACACAACCCACTCGACCTCGCACTCACACCCATGTTGGTCATAGACCCCGCTAATACCGATCAGGGGTATCCAGAGGACTATCACAGTCCATTGGCACTATTGCTTGAATGCAATGACTCAGATCCTAATAAAAAAAAAATAAAAAAATTGGAACCACACAACACGCTCCTGTCCAACCCCCCTCGGATACTCGGATGAGGGCAATCAATGCTGCTCACCGATAGTGTTTTTGATACCGTTTCTCTATAAAAGGGACGTTGGACCAATTTCCATCAGGTGCTGCTCCCCACCAATAGACTGGAGGCTCCAAGCAAGGGACCCAACTCTGTTTCTTCTCTCCAATTCTCCTCAAGCATAACCCCGTCCTCGTGGGATACCCCTGCCGGGCCCAGAAAATTGTGGCACTCAATATGTCCGGGTAGGGGATGTCCTGATTCCCAGAGGAAGTCCGAAACGAAATGTCTGGAATCGCATTTTGTTTTCTGTGCGGCAGAGTTGTTTCGTTTCGTGCCCGCTCGGTAGACACCACTACACTTGAAAAAAATTGTAGGGCTGCCCTACACGTACCCTACAAATCCAACGTAGTTAAAAAAATACTCCAGTTTGCCGCCGTTCCACACAACCCTAGACACCACCCTACAAATTTCGAGCGGGAACTGCGCAGTGGCAGTTGGCGAAGGGGGAAACCAGTCGAGAAGTGAAAAAAAAAAATGACAATGGGGAACCAAACGCAACCTGCAACTGCCCCGCAGCGTCCGCTTGCACTGTTTGGTAGTGGGAGTGAAGTCACCTCTGGGAGGTGACTTGAAAATCTGGGGGATTTGCCTGGGCGCTCCTCCACTCCCACTACAATTTTTAGGCGCATTTGGAAAAGGTGAGAACACCAATCCCGTGGGGAAAGTGATTAGTCGAGGTTAGTGAATTTTTCGGGTAGCGTGGAATGGTAAGAACTCTGTAAGTGCCAGTGAAGTGTAGTGGTGTCTAATGAGACCCGTTTCCCCAGGATTGTGTCTTTCAGCACCCGCCTCAATCTTTCGGGTGGGCTTTGCTCCATGCGCGTTTGAATTTGGGCTCTCTTTTCTTTGTGCGTGTTCGAGTTTCAGCTCTCTTTCCCCCATGCATGTTCAAGCTTTGGCTCTCTTTTCTCTGCCGCGTTCGAGTTTTGGCTGTCTTTTCTCCGTGTGCGTTCGATTTCGGCTCTCTTTGTATGTGTGCCTCGGGATCCGACCGTTCTTTCTTCCCCCCCCCCCCCCCCCCCCCCCCCCCCTGAGCTTTCCATTGCCAGGCTGTCCGTTTGTCCCAATGTTTGAATACAAGTAATCCTTGTGTGTTCAGGTTTCAACTCTCTATCCGCATGCACCTCGGGATCCGACCATCCTCGTTTTCTCCCGAGCTTTTCATCTTCGCGACGTGCATTTCTTCCAATGTCCTTTCTTCCCCCCCCCCCCCCCGGTGAGCTTTCCATTGCCAGGCCATGCGTTTGTCCCAATGTTTGAATACAAGTAATCTTTGTGTGTTCAGGTTTCAACTCTCTATCCGCATGCACCTCAGGATCCGACCATCCTCTTTTTCTCCCGAGCTTTTCATCTTCGCGACGTGCATTTCTTCCAATGTCCGAATACAAATGCACAGAGAGCCAAGTTAGAGAGCCAACCCAGTAAGGGCGCCGCAGTTCCTTCCAATGTCCGAATACATGTACACAGGGGATCGAGTTTGGGTGTCGTGGTTCCTTCCAATGTCCGAATACAAGTACACAGGGAGCCGGCTTAGGGCGCCCTGGTTCCCAATTCCTTCCAATGTTCGAACACAAGCACACAGGGAGCCGAGTTAGGGTGCCCTGGTTCCTTCCAAAGTTTTAAATACAAGCACACAAGGAGCCGAGTTGGGGTGCCCTGGCTCCTTCCAATGAGTGAATACAAGACAAGCACACGGGGAGCCGAGCTACCGTCTTCACCCGAAGATAACGCCCGGGCATTGTGTACGAATATAATGCCCGTCAGCTTGTGTTTTTTTGGCACACTGTCCATTTCGAGGCTCCTCAAGAGAAGGGTCAAAAGTACTGGTGGTTCAATAAAACAAGTGGACCCGACTTGGTGACGCCACACCCCAAAGGATGGGTAAAGCAATAATCCGACTTGACCTCCCTATGTACTCGTATTCCAACGTTGGTAGAACGTATGACACCCTAAGGGAGCTAGAAAGTACGGCGCCCTCAAGGAGCTAGAAAGTTTGATGCCCTAAGTCAATTCTATATGTAATGGTATTCGAACATCTAAACCAACTCCTTGCATACTTGTACTCAAACAGTGGAAGGAAGCAGGGTGCCCTACCGTCTTCACCCAAAAATAACGCCCGGGTGTTTTATTCAACTTCCCCTAAAAAGATGAGACTTTCGTTTTTATCTTCTTTTCAAATAGAATGCCGGGGTAGAGTGCCTTGAAGAGGTAGTATACGAGGAGGAAGAAGAAGAGGGGGAAGAAGAAGAGGAGGAAGAAGAGGAGGACGTTGACGAAGAGGGTGCCGTGGCGATGGACAAGGAGGAGGAGGAGGAGGAGGAGGAGGAGGAGGAGGAGGAGGAGAAGGAAAACAAGGACGACAAGGATGACGAGGAAAAAGAGGAGGAGGAGGAGGAGGATGGGGAAGAGAAAGAAGAAGAGGAGAAGGAAGAGGAGGAGGAGGACATCGAGGTAGAAGAAGAAGAGGGGGGGAGGAGGAGGAGGAGGTGGATGGAGGGAAGTAAACTCACCTGGTGTGCGCGGGTTGCGGCCGTTGGGCATCGGAGTTCGGCAACTGCAACGCCGAACTCCACCGACAGGGCAGGGCAAAGTCGCGCACGAGAGAGGGCTGCAATGGCTCGGAATACGAATTTGAAATCGGCCTGATCTGGACCGTCGATCTCAAAGATCTGACAACCCAGATTGGGCCATTTTCGTTTTTGATTTTCGAGGCCCTACCGGCCTCGAGAAAAAATTCCCTTTAGCCACCCCCGCTTCGCCCCTGCCCGCTTCTCACCCTCACGACACCCGATTCCCCATGGAAGCACCCACCCCAATTTCCCAACCGATCGGACACAGGGCCCCGAGCAGACGACCGACCGATTGTCTAATCGGATAACCCTGGACGGTCGGGGGGGTCCGGACGTCCGATCGGGTAACGTAGTTATGAAGTAAAATTTGTTTTTAACTTAGCACACTAAATAAAAAAAGGGAAAAAAAAAAAAAGAAAAAAAAAAAAGAAAAAAGAAAAAAAAAAAAAAAAACCATTCTGATTTTTTCTTTTTCACTGTCCAGACTTTAAAAGCTTATGTTACTTGTGTAAAACATAAATCTTGGGTTTATGAAAACGCACGAAGCGATTATGCAACTCCACCTGGTCGTATTACAATTACAAAGTTTTTTTATAGCTAAAGAATGTTGTTTGATACTGCCAACACTATTTTGATGTGTTTTGATTATTTCAAACAAGAAACTTTGAATGCTTTGAATATATGGTGTTAATTCTACTCTCTACTTCGTAGCGAGACAGACACATCTTATTCATGCGTGGTGCATGCATGAAAGACACTTGGAATGATGAACTCATTCGGGTCTCATATATATCGTATCGATGAGATATATATCGATCGCACTACGATGGCTTACCATTTATAAATAAATGCTAGGTGGCTTAATCAGACCTATCCATATAAATCAGAGGAGCCTAGGCTAAGTAGTAGCCTTTGCATAGTTTCCCCCCTTTACCCTCCTTCTCTCCTCCCCCATCCCTATCCTCATTGGTTCCTCTTCGATTGGTTACTTTAACTTCAAATCTAAATCTGCTTATCCAATGCTCAGACCCAAATGCAGATTATGTGACCGTGTAGAAGACAGATGGTATCGCCACCTCAATATAGACCGCAGACTACTGAAACCCATCCGGTGGTTTGCACACTACAACAAAAGACCCACCAAAATCTCCGCCCTCCAGTGGCAAATAGAGCACAGGTGTCTACCAACCAATGATTGGCTGATAGACCATACCCGACTGGAACAACAGGGGAAGGCACTACCATGGTGCCATAAATGTCTCCTGAGCTACCCCCGGGAGGAGGAGGGCTGAGACCATCGAACATATATTCCTTCAATGTCCCGCATCAGTGCTATTATGGAGAAGTTGGGACAGGATCTGGCGTCACATAGTTCCTGGTGCAGTCTGGCCATGGGACTGGAGGGCCCTACTCTTGGGGTATTACCCTCCAATCCGGGGGAGGACATTTGAGGAAAACATGTTCAGCCTAGGCAGATGGAGAGTCCTGTGGACTATATGGTGGATAAGATGTTGTCTTGAGATAGAGGGGGCGAGGGTGGAAGACGGCGAGGCCATGGAACAAATCCGAACATTGGTCCAACACGACATAGCGGCCCAATGGAAGACAGCTAAGGACAAGCTCGACCTGATGTATACCTGGGGGGACATGAACAGGACCATCTCTACATTCAGCAAGGACTGGCTGGGTGGAGAGAGGGAGGGATGGGTGGCCGAGGTGAAATGGACCGGCCGCCAACCGGAAAGGGAATCGCAGGGAGAACCCCGGACAAAGATAGTAAGAGACTACCAGCTGATCTTTCACGATTGGACCAAGATTGATCCCGACACCCCGCTACGACCTGCTCAGGACTTCGCAGACCCTTTCCCACCTCACCCGCTGTCCTTAGCAGAAGTACTACCGGTTGCATGAGCCCTGGTACTTTTCAGATCAAGTTTGGATCACTGTAGGATCACCTCTGTTTACCGGTTCTCTGGATTCCATTTCCTTTTCCTATTTCCGCTACCCTCTCTACTTCTCTTGAATCAGTTAACTCATCCTGTTTAATTCTGTGTATTCCTGTTAATTATTTATTCCTATTTATTCCTGGTTACTTCAGTTCACCTCTTGTTGAGTCCTGACGGGTTTGCAAGCAGGCAGCTACGACAGATGCCCTGTGGAGAGTTGGAGGAGAGTTAGGCAGGAGCTGAGGACGGAGGGGATCCTACTGGTGCCCCCCTATACTCCCCCCCATCACCCGGCCCGGCTGTAGGAAGGGTCGAGATGGGATTAAGATGGGACGCTGGACCCGATTTCCAGCAAGGGTGTCACTCCCAAAAATGTATTGTAAGATATGGGTCAATTATGGGACGCTGGACCCGGTTTCCAGCAGGTGAAGCTCCCCACCAATAGATGGAGCAGCCCGCCAGGCAAAAAAAAAATAAAAAAAAAAACAAGAGGCGGGTATGTCAAAAAAAAAAAAAAAAAAAAAAAAAAAAGAGCCTATGAGGACTATGCGGGACTTCAATTAATTTCAAATTCACACGTGTACAGGATTGACAGGAAACATCTCATACTTGATTGGAAACTTCACATGAAAATGACATTGATTATTAATTCATAGGACTCTATGACACAGAGGAGTAATTATGTGTAGTTGGGCACCCTATTGCTCAAGTCGCCATGCATATAGACTGAAACATGATGTAGTAAACTGTGTAATCTCCTTGATAATGAGTGTGCCCAACTCTTGGAGTTAGGTCACTCTTGGAGAAGACGTTGCGGCCCTGTACTCCAACATGTTGCTTAACTGCTACAATGGCTTTGTGTTCTTAATATACCATTTAATCCATGGTAGTCGATGCACATGCAAACTCCTCGATCCTTCTTATGCATAAAGTACAACAGGACGAAGGAGGTCCTGCACCTTCATTCACTTTCCTGATCACCTTCATAAGAAGATAATTGATGGGCCTCTCTTAAAAGAAACAGTGACCTGGACTGCACGGATGAGGAGCTGATGAGAATCAGAGTAGTGGGATCCGAGGATGCAGGTTATTATGCGTACGAAATGTCCACCCCACTGGGCGGGCTACCCTTACTCACCACTGTCTCCCAACCCCAGATTGGATCACAACAAGATCCAACATGGAGCAGGCCGGGATCCTCTACCCAGTATGTGCTCACTGCGGTCCAAACGCACACCCACGAAGGGCGGATCTCGAACACTGCCTGCTCGCGTGCCCAATGGCGACTCGATTGTGGCAATGGTGGGACGCGATGTGACACACGCTTGCAAGCTCTGCATTCCACTGGGACATTGTTCTAATCCTAATGGGGAAACGCCGAAACATGACAGCAGTTTGGACACCCTTTTAACGTAACTTTTTTAGCCACATGAGATTGGCAGTCCTCATGGTAATATGGAGGATTCGGAGATCTGCAGAGCGACAAGATGCTGCCTTTAGCTTCCACCAAGCCAAGGCACAATTACTGGGAGTCATATGAGCAAACCTCAGCAAAGCCAGCAAGAAGCTCGCTGAGGTACTGGTAGCGACCCAGGACGGGGAGTGCAGGAGAACGGCCATAGCTGCTTTCGGGGAAATCTGGCTTGACCCTGCTCATCATCATCATCATGATCATGATCATCATCGTCATCACATGAGGGACGCTGAGCCTGGTTCTCAGCAAGTTTGGTTCGGTTTCTCCGGGCAGACTGTGAGGACCCCGACCTCATTCCTCTTATTGGTAATATTAGCCTTGGGCACTGGGCCCTTAATAAAAAAAAAAAAAAAAAAAAAAAGAAGATGGCCGAAGTGCACGATAATGGGAAGCTTAGTTGGAAGAACTGGGCATTTCAGGATGACCAGTGGTCCTACCGCCGGGCCGAATGCTTCCCTATGCCCCTTTGTTACATACTCGTGAATACTTCAACGAGTATGGGGCAGAACCAAAGATCAACCAATATAGGATGAGTATGTATGCAGCGGAAGTCTGATAAATGGACTGACTCACATAGACTGACTCACACAGATATCACTCCACACACAAACAATCATGAGATGGTGGGGTCTGAGCCAAGCACAGACGATGCTCAGGCCCCGTACACACATACACAGATGAAAGGTGGGAGGAGAGACGAAGGAGGTGGGAGATGTAGGTAGCAYCAGAGGTCACCGAGATAGAATCCAATAGATCACCGATATGGTAGTCCAAAATGTCATCAAACAAGATCAAAATGTCGTGGACAATAAGTCACCAATGTCGGAGATACAGAGTCCTAATGTAAACGGTGTCCGAACTGTGATGCCGCCGAGTATCARCCCCAACAACCTCCAAGTCTCGAATCCGGTAAGTACCACAGCCTCTTACCACCGAAGTCCAACACTGATCTCTGTCCAACTAGTATCAAGTCTCCAGTCTGAAGAAGAAGAAGAAGTCTGAAGAAGAAGAAGAAGTCTGGAGAAGAAGAAGAAGAAGTCTGAAGAAGAAGAAGAAAAGAGATGAGATGAGATGGCAGAAGAGGAGGAGGGGAGGAAGAGGGGAGCCAGGGACCGTGGAGGGAGGAGAAGACCTCACTCCCGAGAACCTGGCCTGCTGCAACTGACGGAAGTCGAGATCGGCTATGGCTGCCCGCTGCCTGGCTCCTCGCTCGCTGCCGCTGCTGCGCTAGCTGCGCTGCTGCTGCTCCTCCGCGTTGCGCTAAGAATAGCGCTGGCGCTAACACTCCTCTACTGAACCGATACGCACTGGCGTTGATACAGCATGCCAGTGGCTCGATGCCTGAGAATGAGGCCGGACCGGTCTTTAGTACCGGTGAAACGAGGCCGGCCTCAATGCTGCAAGGCCTGGCCGTGACCTGAACCGTCGAGATCGACGGTTCAGATCAGACCGGCGGGCGGCAGCCTCAAAAGCGCCGCCAGGCCCAAAAGGTATGTCGTTTGGCCCTGCCCGTCGGGTCTGGTCCAAAACTGTGGCCTTTACGGCCTGCTGCACCCCAAGTCCGAGCCTCAGGCCTTACTGTGTCCTTGTAGCCCTAAGTCGGGTTCGGTAGGACCCGTGTGGCGTCGAAGATGTAACACACTCCCCTTCTTAAAAGATCGAGCTACCTGCGAGGGCGGAGTTGTTTGTCCGATACCGGGATGGGCCGGGCGGGACAAGCTGCTTCCTTGGCAAGGCGTCGCTTCTCATAGTTGGCGAAGATAAGGGGTGCAGAAGTCTGCAAGTCTGCACTAGAGATCCACCGAGTGTCGTCAGGCGCACATTGCTTGAATGTGACTTTGAACTGCATTGGCTTGTTGCCATACTTGCGGTGCGTGATGACTTGGTCCACTTCCTGATGTCCGTCCATAGAAGGCGGATCCTGTGATCGTTGGCCAGGAAACTCGTCAGCGGAAGGTGGCGTGTAGATGGCCAGATTTGACGCGTGGAAGACCCGGTGCACTGGAAGGTGCGGTGGAATGTTGACCACAAAGGAAGGACCTGCGGGGTCGTCTCCAACGGCAGAAGTAACTTCCCATGGTCCGAACCATTTCGGAAGGAGTTTGCATGAAACGTCCTGCTCGAGCGCAAATTCCTCGGAGAGGACCCAAACAAGATCTCCCTCGCGGAAAGGACATGGAAGTCGATGTCGGTTAGCTTCCTGCTGCATGCGGATTTGAGCCTTTTGCATATTCGCGCGGGCTTTGATCAACAAGTCCCGGTACTTCCGAACGAAAGCGGGAGAGCAAGGGACGTCTATGTCGGCGGCCTGTGGCAGAAGGAGATCAGCGAAGATCCGTGCTTTCTCTCCACCATGATGTAACTTGAATGGTGTGACGCAGATCGCCGGGTGCACCGAAGTGTTATAGGCGAACTCGATGTCGGGAAGCCGGTCAACCCAATTTTTCTGGTCGGGACGGATGAGCGTACGCATCATCTGAGCAGTCTGGTTTGCTCGCTCCGTCTGGCCATCCGTCTGTGGGTGTCGAGCCGAGCTCGGCTAAATTGTTGTACCAGACTCAGCCATGAGGGAAGTCCAAAAGGCCGACATGAAGCGAGTATCTCGGTCGCTCACTATGTCTTCCGGAACACCCTGGTTGGTAATCAAACCGGTGTGCAAGAGTCGTGCGAGCTCGGGCGCTGCAGCATGATACTTGCAAGGAAGGAAGCGAGCATACTTGCTCAAACGGTCAACGACCGTGAGAATACCGTCATGGCCGTGGCGATCGCGGGGGAACGGGCCTGTCACGTCCATAGCAATGGAGAGGTGCGGTGGCCGAGGAATCGGCAACGGTTTCAGTTCGCTGAAGGGGACTCGAGATCGACCCTTGTTACGGTGGCGAACTGCGCATGACTCAATGTACCTCGTGACGTCAAGAAGGACGTCGGGCCAGTGAAAACGCTGGCGGAGGCGTGCTAATGTGCGATTTGCGCCTAGGTGTGCCGAAAGTCGTGCGTCGTGGAATTCGCCGAGAAGACGAGTCCGTAAGATGCGATCTTGGGGCACAACTAACAAGTCCTTTCCTCTCATGTGAAGGAGAAGGAACCCGTCAGAAATCCGATAATGGCTAGCCGGCGGGTGATCCGATGAAAGTTCCACGTAAAGCGTCGAGTAAGTCGGATCGGACTTGTAGCCTTTGACGAAATACGGCTGCAGATCGTCATCGAGGTCCAATGTCGTGGTCACAATGGCACAAAAGTCGGGCCGTCGTGAGAGGGCGTCCGCAGCTCGATTGGCGGGACCGGGAATGTGGCACGGTTCAAAGTCGAACTGGTCAATGTAATACATCCATCGACCGATCGTGCTAGGGACCGTATCCTGCGTTTTGTAAAAGGTCAACAGATTGTTGTCCGTATTCCATTTAAAACGCCGACGGCCGAGAAGAAAGTGGCGCCACCGTTTGAGAACGGTGACGAACGTGAGTAGCTCTTTCTTCCTAGCGTCGTTGAGAGTGTTGAAGAGAGGCACCTTTTGGGAGAAATACTCGACCGGATGCCAACCGTCCTCGTGACACTGTTCCAACACCGCACTAATACCGTATCCCAAAGCGTCCGTAGTCACATGGGTGGGAAGGGTGGGGTCGTATATACGGAGGGCAGGTGCGGCTTGCATTGCTGTCTTTAACGTAGTGAACGCGCCACGGGCTGCGTCGTTGAACTCGAAGGGCACCTTTGGCGACTGAAGTCTCGACAAAGGAGCGACCACTTTCGAGTACGACTCGACGAATCGCTGATAATATCCAGCCAAACCCATGAAAGAGCGTACGTCCGTCGTGCAACGGGGTTCTGGCCAATCCACGATGGCTTGGATCTTGTCCGCTAAGGGACGAATGCCTTTCGGCGT